TGGAAGATGGGAGAGAGTTAAGTTCTATCATCTTTTCTAGCTGTATTGCTCGTAACTGAATTGGGCAGGTTATTTTGCAAGTGTCTTCAACTGGAAAATTATTAAGAGTTTTCTTTGCATCTTTCTTCCTGAAGAGTCAGTGGCCATATTTATGAATGCCCTATCATTCAGGAAGCACGAAAAAATAGCAGTATTGGCTATATATTTTTTTTTTTTTGAAAGGTTTGCAACCTGAGTGACTAGAAGATTAAAAACTGGATTCCTACTTTACTAATGGTATGCTTGTGTTCCCATTCCTGTGAGGCTGCAGAATACTGACTTTAAATGCCTTTGTTTAGAATAGCTGTTACTCTCCAAGATGTAGCCAATGAAACTGGAAAGTATGGGTGATGACTGTGGGGGCCTAATTCTGCTTATGTTGAGGTCAATTTAGGATAAAAGGAATTAAGGCAATATTAAGCATTTTTGAGTTTCAAGAAGGGGGAGAATGTAGAAAAGTGGCGTTAATCTCTTTTTAGAAGAAATGGATATTGGAGCTCAGAACAGGTGAGAAATTAGTAAGCGCTGCATAATCATAGGTGTACTGATATTACTGCTAATATTGCAGCTAATGTCCCTCATATACTGAAAGAAAACCTTCACATTCCATTTTCCCAAGTCCAGTAAATTTTGAAGTTGGTTTGAAGTTGGGCTGTTGGATTTTATGTTGCTGTGTTTTTTTAGCAAGGCTCACAATATGGAAAATAGTTTCTGTGTTATTAGACCAAACATATCTAAATCTTTTCATCTTTTTGGAAATTAACTACCTGAAAAATAGTACGTGTCTAAATTTGAGTTTTCTCCAGTTTAAATAGGCTTGATTTCCAAATTTTGATAATGGTGCCTCCTGTCTGGTGCTTAGAAGATTCTTCTTATCACAGTCTTTTTCCAGTTTGAAGGTTGCAAGAGGGCAGTGTGCTTCTCAGAGTAACTTGTAACCTTGTTCCAACATCTCTTCCTGTTTGTCCAAGATACACAGCACCTGTGTTTTGTAGGGTGACTCATACCTTCCTAGGGTTCAGGAGCTGATGTTATGGCAATGTGAAGTGTGTGGTGTGTATGTAGGTCCCTTTATTTAAGTTATTTTTTTGGTTTTGAACACGAACAGCCAAATTGATGCAGTTTGGATCTGGCCTTACCTTTAATGAAGACTTGAATTTTTTGGACAAATTATTCTAGCCTCTTTTGTTTCCAGTGTTACAACTGAAAAAATAAAGATAAACCTGCTGAATAGGTTTGTATTTATGCTACGGATCAAACCGTTTTGATTGCTCTGTCCTTGTGCCCATTCTACTGAGGGACACAAGTGAGCCTGATTATGTGATTCCTTCTTTGTTCCTTGATAGCAAACCAGAACACTTACAGTATCTGGTTCTTAATGACCCTCCATGTAGTTCTGTCACCTAGTAATGAAGGCTGCAGACCTCTGAAAAGGTGTGGGTTTGGTTTGTTTAAATTCACTATGTGAAAAGCAAGCTACTGATACTACAGCTTACATTTCAGTAGAAAGTTTAATCCCTTTTGGAGCATGGCTTTGCTGTCTTTTCCTCAGTCAACAGTGCCGTTCTAAGTTCTCCTGGAGAATAATGTAGGACTGCTGCATCTCTTACTGCTGCTCTTCAGCTAGACTCAGAAAAGCAGCCCGTAACAGTTTCTTTTGGTACTTTCCATCAAAGCTGTTTTGGACCTTAAGGCAGAAGAAAAACCTATAGCTAAGTCTCAGTCTTCCCTTCAAACCACAGGGGAAATATATTGTGTTCAAGGATTGTTCAAACATGGATGAGAATCTGCGCTTAAACCACGAACACACACACCCCGCAAAACAAAAACAAAACTCCCAAAACCCAGCAAAAAACCACCCATCTCCACAAAACCGAGGGAACTGATTTGCATCTCTGGCCTTTGTGCATAGAGACGTGTACTTTGCAGCACACTTAAATGAGTCCTGACAGCAGACAAAGAATGAGCATCCTGAGGGACGCTGACCAATACATCCGCGTGACACCCCTTGGACAGATACACTGATTTCAACTACACTAGCATTAAAGACAGAAGACAACTGACAAACTGTCTTACCAACGCATATGAAGTTGGATGAAGGCTTAGTAGACTATTCAGGCAACTTGATCTCAAGTATAATCTGAAATTTTCCTTTCAGAAACTCCAATACTCAGGATCATTACTAGTTTCCCGTGAAGTCAATCCTTTCTTAAAGGGCAAGCTTCAAAATCAAGGGCCAAGAGCTCTGAGGTTGTATGACAACTGTAGATCAGCCCATTAATGGGCTATAGGTAGACCTAAATCCTGCATCTTCGTAAACAAGTTGCTAGTGGTAAGTTCTCAGTAAAATACACTTGCAACTAGGGGAAGACCAATATAGAGGCCCTGTGATGATTAACGAAATATTTGCATTAGGAGTCAGGTTTAATTGAAATTAGTTGCGTAATGACCCAACAGCACAGATTCCGTGCTGGGATGGAAACAGGCAGTTAAATCCTCTTCTTGGCTTTAAAAGCACCTTATATATACTATACTATAGAGTGTAGGGGGGGGTGGGGGGTGTGTGTGTATATATATATATATATATATGAGCTGTAATATATATAAATGACCTGTAGTATACAATAAGGAGCTTCATCATACAGAACAGGCAAGACAGTGTATCAGGTCAAGATGGAAACAGTACACAATGCCTATTGCTAATGATTTTCATCCCATTAGTTTAATAAGCCCAGTACAAATTTCTCCAACAAGCAGTAGCACGCTGTACGCTCTGTGTGTAATTTTGAAAAATGCATTTGATTGTACTGCAAGAGCAATTTGATTTCTTTTCCAGGATGATGAGAATCTGCATTTCCTTGACTCTTGTCCATTTTTATACAGCTTTTCTTAAGAACCCATTCTGCCAAAGTTGAAGAATCTTTAGAAAGATTATTTGATGGTGTGTAATACTTTCAGAAGGGCCCAGGGCTGGAATATTAAAAACACTCTCTATATACCATTAATATTCCAACTCTGCGTTTGGCAACATTTTGATTCTGAAGAGAGTGCATGAGTTCAAGGTCAGAGAGATTGACTTGTGCTGTTCATTATAACCAATTATTGTGTGACAAATGAGTTTGAGATCAGGCTGAAAATTCTGTGAGAAAAATCAATAGTTCTAATCAGGGCCTTTCAGGTCATTTACCACCCTACCTTTTGTTACTTTGTCAGAAAAGAGCAAGATAAAAACCTGTGTGACAGTGGGTTGCCTCTGTATTGTTACTTTCCATTTGAAACATATTTTGATATCTTGAATTATATTAATAGTTTAATTGGTTTTAGAAACTTCTAAATGAGTTCCAATTTGTAAAACTTCCTCTTTTTTTAATATTCTGATAAGATTTCTCAACTGGTATTAAAGCTTTTCTGTCTAGGAAGTAGTATCTCTAAGTCCTAAACCGAATTTGAGCTGTTTGTCTGTAATGAATAGCAAATAAACCTTACCAGCAGATATACTCCACTAATAGCAAAAAAAAAAAAACCAAAACGAAAAAAGCTCTTCAGAGACTTACAACATCTGAAACAACAATTTAATGTTGTTTTGGCCAAGCTGGGCACGTATTGAGAATTTTGTAAATTCATTTGTATTTTCCTTTGTAGTACCCAGACGAAGATGAAGAAACTAGATTATATCGTTTGAAGATAGAAGAGCAGAAGCGTCTAAGAGAAGAAATTCTGAAACAAAAGGAGCTGAGACGGCAGCAGCAGGCTGGTGCTAGAAAGAGAGAATTGCTTGAAAGACTCGCACAGCAGCAGCAGCAGCAGCAACCTACGCAACAGTCCTACATGCAGCAGGAGGACGACTCCTCCGAGTTCCCCACCAATGGCAGCCCTTACATACCCCACTCCGGCTTACAGACCAGGCAAAATGTGAAAAACAGACTCCTTGTTAAAAAGCAAGATACGGTAGTTCCAAATATCCAACCCAAACCCACAGATTTCCCACAGGTCGGGGCGAATGTGCAGTATCAAGGACAGCAGATTAAGCCAGTGAAGCAGCTGAGGCAGACGAGAACAGTCCCTCTGAGTCAGCCTCAGGCGCCACAGAAAGTGTTACAGACAAAGCCTGCTGGAGCATCACTGCCCACGACACCGACTGCTCGAGTGGCTTCGGTACAAGCAAGGCCCCAGGAACTGAAACCTGGCGTGAAAAGGACTGTCATGCACCGGACAAACAGTGGTAGTGGAGATGGGTCCCATGTCGGCAGCAAAGTCAGGGTGATTAAGTTGTCAGGAGGGGTAAGTTTCCAAGGCTCATCTCGTGTGTGTGTGTTGTCATGGTTTGGTTTTGCGTGTTTCATCCTGTGTAATCCCAAAATAAAAAATGGGCCGAAGCTGATGAGGGAAGTAGCAGGTTTAGCAGACCTAATAGTCCATATTTTATATTTTCAGAACTGTAAGTTAGTAGCAGTTATTCAGAAGTTAATGTTTCCTGTAATGCTTTACTGCCAGGCAGTTATCACTGAAATCGCTTTGAAATTACTTCTTCCTTTTAAGTTGTCTTCTAAGTTTTAAGTCTGAAAGACTCCTCAACTGAACTCCTTTTGCTTAAGGTTGATAGGTCTGATAGGGGGTCAGAAAAAAGGATTTGGATGGCTGTTTTTAAGGTTCGGTTAAAAAGCAAGACTCTGATTGTTTGGTAGTTAAAGCCACCTAATTTAGTTGTGTGCAGATGCTGGTGTTAGTGTGGTTTCTGTACTCAAGGGAAGATTATTTTTGTTTTCTTGAAGTGTGTTGTGAAACTAATTGAAGCAGTATATTGGAGAGGGATGTTTTCTGTTAGAGGCTGGATTTAAAACGTTACCCATTTCACTTCTGCATCTAAATGAGATTTCCTTATCTTTTGATGAGGGGTCTATTATCTGCAGAGTGTCCCTTGAGCACCGATGTGGAGGACTCAGAATGCGGGTCTTGATGGCGGTGTGCGTATTGTAAGATCTGGGGCTTTGGTTAGAAAGTATCTTGACCAAAATTATTCTGTCTTAATGAAAAGACAAGTTAATTTGTTAGGGCTCTGAAGAAACTGAGATGAGGGGACATAATGAGATCGTGTTGTCAGTGTGAAATCCGTCCACGGGTTTATGCTGAGGAGGAAAGTAGTATGTGATGTGTTTTAATGCTGTAGTACATTGGAGGTATTTTTTTGGAAGAATGCTTCTTAAATTATTCAGAGCATTAATTAGGGAAACTTGCAGAACTGCTGAAGGTCTGTAATGAAGTGCACGTTGTGTTAACAGCGGCTGAACAAGGCCTTGGAGGCCAGGCTTTACTCTGTAGAAATGGGGAGGAAGTTGAAATGCCAAAGTCTTAATTACTTTTTATAAATGTTTTTGTACAGCTCATAAAACTTAAATACACTTAAAGTTGTGAACTGCATAATGACCATGTGGTCTTTCAAAATATTAACATAAAGGGCCTTATTGACTACACAGAGCTGACAACAACCTGACTGGGAGGATGTCTAGTTCCTCAGACATGATAACTTAAGTACAGAAGAATAAAGTACAAGAAGTTGAAAGGAATTGATTCTGTTGGGCTAAAAATATTTATATATAAATATGTCTGCAGGAATCCCAGTGGCCTGCAAGAGGTATGACAGGTTTGTTAGTCATGAATAATTGAATAAAGCAGTCATGCACAACTTCTTTCATTATGTGGTGAAACAAAACAATGCCAGTCACAGCTCTTCATAACAAATGGTTATCAGTGCCCCCAGTAGCATTCACAATGAAATAGTTTTTATCATAATGCTTTATTTCAGAAAACTGTAAATTATTTGTTTCACATAAGTCTCATGGTAAGCAAGAGCAATTAGCTTCATTAAATGCCTGTGTAACCCCTCTTTCATTGTACACAGAAGCAGATTTGCTCTGTCCTTAACTTTCAGATACTGAGGTTTTAGCAAGGTAAAGCAGGTTCTTTACATGTAGTCTTTGTTACTTCTGTCATATTGACACAGACATTTTCAGTTTTCCTTCCAACTGTGGAAGAATAAAAGCAAGCATTGCAATTAGCTGTTTAACACTGATCAAGATAGTTGATTAATTTTTAATCGGTTAGTGACAAGCTGAATCTATGACTTTGTTTCTTTGACCATACAAGGAAAAAGAAAAAATTGAGCAGCAGGGGGGCCAATCTTGTCCATTTTGACAGGATTTTAAAGAAGAATTAAAAGCTGCTTGGACTCTGAATGCTACAAAGATTACAGATCACACTTAGTTTCCACTTAGTATTTAGTCCTGCTGTATGGTTTGTTTATTTTCACAAATTTTGCCTCGATGCTAAATATAAAGCAAAAGGCAAATCTCATTTTTCCTAGCCATTCTCCTTAGCATGTAATAGTGCTTGCTCTAATTCCGTGCCTTTGGCCGAAGGGATGGCTGGTATCTCTTATCTGTATGCACTGACTTGATCCCGCAGTTAAGCAGCCCTGCCCATTTCTCTGTCTGATCACTTGTACCCTTTTTCACGTCTAGAGCTCTTCTGTGCAGAGGTGTTTTGAATACCCATGTACGAGTGAGATGGCTTGTGATCAGCTGCAGTGCAGGTTCCTTTTTGAAGCTCTCTTGATTCATGTTGGTAAAGACTTGGAAAGTCCCTTCTCTTTCAGCCTCCATGGTACAGCATGATAGTAGAGCTGGTAGTTGAAGAAGCTGATTGAGACCTGCACTAACTCTTATCTAGACCAAATTGACCTAAACCAGGAGATGGTAGCAAGGACTGTTGTAAATTCAGTAGGACCATCTGTAGAACCAGGATTAAATGGTGGTGTGTTGCTGGTGATGTTTTTTGTTTGACAGTTAAGGAGATGTACTTGGTATACTGGTGAGATTTGCGGTGCACAAATACTGTCAGAAGAGAATGGTTTCTTCTCTTGAGGGCAATATCTTCCCTGATCTAAGCTTCTAACTATGTTTATTTGTGTTGCTGGGCATTGCAGTACTGCTGAGGATCTCTGACCTCCAGGTAGAAGTACCCCTTGTTACTTAAGAAGGTAAAATGGCCTTTCATCTCTTTCCACAATATTCTCTTGAGAGGACTTTGCTTTTTGAGTATTTTTATGGAATTGTAACAACTAGTAATTAAATCTTAAGAAATGTTTTAATTTGTCCAGTTTACTTGATGCATAAGATGCCTTAATTTGTGGCTTCTTATACTTGAAGAAAAGGGAAGTGGAAAATGATTCAGCATTTTCTGTATGCCAGACTAAGTCTGCATATCAAGGTGACACGTTTGGTACTGTCATTAATGGTTTTGTCTGTTGATGCTTATTATTTATTTTTTAAAACAAATCCCACCCCCCGCCTCCTCCCTAATACTGATAGGCCCATCCCTTTCTAATACTCCTGTAATTTATACAGGAATGGCAGTACAGTGAATAGTTTTCCATTTTAATTACTCCTTTAAATGTTATGTTCCTGGAAAATGAGGCAGTGTTTAGCAGATGAACTTTCATTATTTTTTTTTTTTCCATGAAGGCCCAGATATCTTTTGATGGATCCAGTGTGCTTTATGGCTTGTGTAGCATGTCTTCAGAGACATCCTTTACAGATAAAGGAGTTCAATGTATTTGCCAAGTATTCATACTAGTGTATTTTACTAAGAAAACATCTGAGATTTGCCTGGCTTGATGAGGAGCCTGAAGTAAATCCTAAAGATACTCATAAGAATAAACTCAGTGAGATTGTAGAGTGTGTGTTGAGAAGAAACACCCTAATAAATTACTTAAATATGTGATCATAAAATTTTAAAAATGAGGGTGAAAGGACCATAGAAATAATTTATTCTGTCTTGAAGAGATGAACTCTGTTTTTCCTGACAGACTTGTCCAACCTTTTTCTGAGATCTCATTATTGGAGATTCCTTTGGCCATCTATTCCAGTGTTGAACACGTACGCTTGGGAGAATTTTCTTGGTGACCAAACTACATTTTCTTGCTGTGATTTTGAATCTATGACTGTTTGTATTACACTTCAAAAGAGATGGGAAAGAATTTATATGCCTCTTTGTGGCTGTCTCACTTTTTAAAGATCTCTTAACTGTTTCTGAGTACTAATATCCTTCAGTCTCTCTTGCTGGGGCATGTTTTCTGACACCTTGGCTGTTCGTCGTCATGGTGGTGGTCTTTGGGCACTCTGTGGTCAGTCTGTCAGTAAATAGTTCTAGTACCAACTGCAATTGAATTCCTTAAGCCAGTATATTAGTAGTGTCTTTAGTCCTGGAAGAATAGGTTTGTACCAGCTACAACCTTAAATGTCTTAAGATCATATAAAATATGTGCTGAACATGTTTTTCATTTAGTTGGAGGTTCTGTGGGAAATGGTAGTAGTTTAAAATCTCGGTATCATTCAGTCATCTTATATTTTTGTTGGGTGATTTTTCTCCAGCCAGAAAAGGCCTGCCTTGCTCAGAGAGATGTCTGTCTGTCCAAAAGGCCTGAAAATGCTGGGTTTTATGCTGCACCAAGAGCACACCAGTTTTTGTCTCTGTGGAAGGTTCTTTCATTTGAGAAGCCTGTCACAAAAAATGTCCTTGGATTGTACAAAGAAAAAGAGAATTGGAATGGAAGCGAGACAACTTTATTCATATTTAGAGTAACTGAGAAGTGTGAAAGATTGATATGGAGTTCTAAATACGGAGTTCTAAATATGGAAAAAGATGCTGATTGAGATGATTGTTGTTTGATAATGTAACTTTATCAACCACCTTTGCTTAATGTTTGTACTTGTCTCTACTTGCATGTGTATGTTCAAGTTTAATTAAAAATATTTGACTTGAAAGCTCTATAGCGCCTTTCATCTAAATATGTCAGGAATTACAAACACTAAGATTTTTGGCATTTGCATGACGAATCTTCTTGAGGGAGCTCTTCACCCAGCTCTGCAGTGCCACCAGCTGCAAGAAACAGCACAGGAACTCTTGCCGCATACAGTCCTGTCACTTCTTGAGAAGCAGGAGAATGACATTGTGGCTTATTCATATCCCACTGTGTTGGAAGGAGGTGTGGATAATGTCCGTATTCTATCAGCAGCAGACTCAAGGCGCTGCAGAAACCATGCTGTTGACTGCCCAGGTACCATGTTTGTCGCTTAGAGTGTCAAAATGGGCAAGACCTTTGAAGCAGTACTAATGTAAATGCTGTTGAAGAAGGACTGTGCCTGCCACAACCTGCAAGATTTCACTGTGGAGGTATTTCACAAATGGACATTAATTCTGTAATTCCACCTCAAAAAAAAAAA